CGCGGCTGCGAGCGAGTCCGTCTCTGGTCGAGGCCGAGATCGAGAAGCTCAAGGACATCTGCAAAAGGGTGAGTCTGAGCAAGGACTATTTGCCATCGATCTGCTGCTACACCGTCCACAACACCTACGAGTCACTCGCCTGTGCCGAGATATCGGCCGACTCGAGGCTGCTCGCCTGTGGCTACGCCGAGAGCTACATCGACGTCCACTCCCTCACGAACGAGCCACTCCGCCGACTTCGGCCCTCCTCGTCGGCCTCGCCAAGGCCGTCGTCGCCCTCAAGTTCTCCACCACGGGCAAGTTCCTTCTTTCGGCCTCGGCCGACTGCTCCGTCCGCCTCTGGTCGCTCGAGGTCTTCGAATGCGTCGGCGTCTACCGCGCCCACGTCTTTCCGGTCTGGGCAGTTGACTTCGCCCCAAACGACTTCTACTTCGCATCAGGCGGGGCTGACAAGCAGTGCGTCGTCTGGTCCACCAGAAGTGGCGCACCTGAGAGACTCATCCTCAGCAGCCTCAGTGACGTCACAGCAGTCAAGTTCCACCCTAACTCCTCCTACGNCGTCGTCGCCCTCAAGTTCTCCACCACGGGCAAGTTCCTTCTTTCGGCCTCGGCCGACTGCTCCGTCCGCCTCTGGTCGCTCGAGGTCTTCGAATGCGTCGGCGTCTACCGCGCCCACGTCTTTCCGGTCTGGGCAGTTGACTTCGCCCCAAACGACTTCTACTTCGCATCAGGCGGGGCTGACAAGCAGTGCGTCGTCTGGTCCACCAGAAGTGGCGCACCTGAGAGACTCATCCTCAGCAGCCTCAGTGACGTCACAGCAGTCAAGTTCCACCCTAACTCCTCCTACGTCTTCACTGAGTCGTGCGATTACAAGGTCAGGATGCACTCCCTCGATGATGGCGCAGTCGTACGCACGTTCGTAGGCCACTCCGACTCGATCACGTGCATGGATGTATCATGCGATGGGAAGCTGCTTCTGACTGGGTCACGTGACAAGCGGATCATCCTCTGGGACATCGAGAAGGCCCAGAGCATCGGGACGTATCACGGCCACGAGGGGGCAGTCTACTCAGTCTCATTCAGCTACTTCGGGTCGATATTCTGCTCAAGTGGAGCAGACAACTCAGTGCGACTGTGGGAGAAGCAGAGTACGCCAAACAAGGAGCCAATGCATTCAGTTGCAACCTACTACACCAAGAATACACCGATAGTACAGGCTAAGTTTGGATACAGGAATATCATATCATGTGTAGGGCCATTCACGGGTTAGTAGTAGTAATAGAGAGGGTGATAAGGGTGGTAGCAGTAATAAGGATAGTGGTAGTAATAAGGATAGTGGTAGTAGTAAGAATAATAGTAAGGGTGGTAAAGATAGTAGTAATAAGGATAGTAAGGGTGGTAAGGTTAGTAATAAGGTAGTAATAAGGATAGTAGTAAAGATAGTAGTAAGGGTGATAGAGGTAAGGATAGTAGAGGTAAGGTTAATAAGGATGGTAATAAGGATATTGGTAAAGATGATAGTAATAAAGATAGTGGTAGTAAGGGTAAAGATAATACTAATAAGGATAGTGGCAAGGGTAGTAAAGATGATAGTAGTATGATGATAGTAGTATGATGATAGTAGTAAAGATGATAGTAGTAAAGATGATAGTAGTATGATGATAGTAGTAAAGATGATAGTAGTAAAGATGATAGTAGTATGATGATAGTAAGGATGATAGAGGTAGTAATGATAGTAAGGTTAGTAGTGGTAAGGTTAGTAAGGATGATAGTAATAAGGATAATAAATATAGTACGGTTAGGATAGTAGTAAAGATAATAGTAAGGGTAGTAAAGATAGTAGTAATGATAGTGGTAGTAACAATAATAGTGACAATGACAGTAACAATGACAGTAACAATAATAGTAACAATAACAGTAACAATGACAGTAACAAGAATAGATATACTCAATTCAATATACCCTTATTCTACTATTTCTATTTCTCCTTCAATTCTACCTTATTACTCTTATTACTCCTCTCACTCCTCTCACTCTCCTCTTCCTGTCCATCGTATTCTTTTATCTTTTCTGTCCTTGGCTCTGCTTCTCTTACTATCTCCTTAGTTGGTACAATCACTGTCTGTATCTCAAGTGGTGGATCCACAAACTGCTCCTTCAGTGCTGCCATCCGCATGGCCTCCTTGAAGTCTGCGTCGTCGTAGTTGTCCTTGTGTCTCCTGTATCCACCCCTGTAGTCCTCGACCATGTCTGCCTCCACCAGCCCATACGTGAGCTCCTTGCCGTAGAAGAGGACGCAGTAGGAGCTGTCTGATACGTCGACGTCCTTGTGGGAGAGATACGCCTCTGCTATGTGCTCTGACGCAATGCGTCCTGGCCAGTGGGAATACTCCTCNAAACTGCTCCTTCAGTGCTGCCATCCGCATGGCCTCCTTGAAGTCTGCGTCGTCGTAGTTGTCCTTGTGTCTCCTGTATCCACCCCTGTAGTCCTCGACCATGTCTGCCTCCACCAGCCCATACGTGAGCTCCTTGCCGTAGAAGAGGACGCAGTAGGAGCTGTCTGATACGTCGACGTCCTTGTGGGAGAGATACGCCTCTGCTATGTGCTCTGACGCAATGCGTCCTGGCCAGTGGGAATACTCCTCGTACTTGGCCCATACGATGTCACCGCCCTTGAATCTGGTAGTAGTTGCAGTAGTCTGCTCAGATTGAGATGGCATCTTAGTCTGCTCCACTGACATTAGGGTGAAAAATAAGTAAGTTGTAATCCAAGAAATCAAACACTATAGCTAAGGGTTTATTTTAAAATTACTGTAGTAACTACCACCCTAATTACAATAGTAACTACAACACTACCTAATTATAATACCACCCTAACTACCACCCTAATTACAACACTAACTACCACCCTAATTATAAATACAACAATATTTACCTCTCAAACTTACTCAGAATGTGCTTAGTGAATGGTATCACCTTGATATCCTTCAGATACTTCCCTACAATCCCCTTCATTTTCCCCTTCAACTCGTCATCCACCGTATCAAAGTACTTCTGTACGACGTAATTTGCGTACATGTCAGTGCACATGTGAAAGAGGGCTGGCCGACTGTCAGCATCAACGCGACTGAACGAGACGAGAAAGAGCCTGAGCTGCTCCCTCGTTGCGTTGCTCACGCACTTCTCTATCACGTTGCTGCTGAACTTGTATTTTGATAGTTCGACTGCATTTTCGATGATGTGGTCGAAGATGGTGGCTCTGACAGCGTAGTCCGACTGAATGACGTGTTGGATGACGTAGTTTCCGTATCGGTCGTTGATGAGGCGAGAGACGTTCTCTGCGATTGATCGAAGGAGCGAGGCGACCTCTGCTGGCTGCGACAGCTCAAAGAGGCGCTGAAGGACGCGACAGCCGTAGCGCTGCTGGGCGAGGCCGATGCAGTCTCGTTCGAACTCGCGGATGAGTCCCAAAATGAAGGCGCGACCAGCAGGCGACTCCTGCGATCGGTCGATGCACTTTTGGACGACGTGGTTTCCGTTTGGGGATGCGATGAGTTCGAGGACGTGGCTGCTCAACTCGGCAATGACGAAGTCGATGTCACCGATGACGTCAATCAGCTTCTGCACGACCCTGCAGCCGTAAACGTGGGTGCTGAGGACGTGGACTGAGCCACCGAACTGCCTGGCCAGGGCCATGCACTCAGTCTCGCCCAAAAGTGGAATCATCTTCTGCACGACGTAGTTTCCAAAGAGATTCGTCGACAGCTCCAGGACGACGTCTTCGACCTCGTTGAAGAAGGCGGCAGTCTCCGCCCTGCTCCAGGCGTCGAGCTGGTTCTGGACGAATCGGCTGCCCTCCTGGTCCTGGCAGACGTCGCGGAGAAGCGCAGCTGTCGACGGCTGCTCGCGGCCGAGGTGCCGCTGGTGGTAGCCGACCACGGATCGCACGGACGGCACCAGCCGTGGCGCAGGCTGCGAGACGCAGAGGCGCTCTGTGCTTCGCGGGGCGCGGAAGAGCAGGGCGCAGTTCGCTGCCCGTGTTCCAACGGCACTCGGTGCAGGTGGCACGTCCGCCTTCGTCGCGTGCGTGGCATCGCATTCGGGGTAGTCGCAGTCGATTTGCTCCACCTTCGTCCTGGGCGACTCAAAGAGTCGCTTCAACTCGAAGTAGAACGAGTTCGTCTGGTTCGAGTGGATTCCACCCTGAAATGGCCGTCTTTCGGTTACGCTGCTTTCAACCAGCTTCTCCATCTCACTTTGCTCTACGTTCTTGAATTCGATCTTGTTTCTGTTTCGCTTGCTATCGTGATGGACTGATGGGAGTGGGTCTGGTTTGCTACGGAGAGCAGCTGCTAGATCAGTCAGTCTGTTTCGTAACTTATTATTTAGAACTGTATTCTGATGGGATGGGACATGCTGCTTATCTCTCATTGTTATGATTGGGATGAAAATTTTTATATGAAACAACTGTAAATAGTGTAGTTATAGTAGTTATAGTAGGTANTGAAATGGCCGTCTTTCGGTTACGCTGCTTTCAACCAGCTTCTCCATCTCACTTTGCTCTACGTTCTTGAATTCGATCTTGTTTCTGTTTCGCTTGCTATCGTGATGGACTGATGGGAGTGGGTCTGGTTTGCTACGGAGAGCAGCTGCTAGATCAGTCAGTCTGTTTCGTAACTTATTATTTAGAACTGTATTCTGATGGGATGGGACATGCTGCTTATCTCTCATTGTTATGATTGGGATGAAAATTTTTATATGAAACAACTGTAAATAGTGTAGTTATAGTAGTTATAGTAGGTAGTTAGGGTGGTGTGATTATAGTAGTGGTAATAGTAGTTAGTCTTAATTTACCTGAGTGAATATTACACCCTTATAATTACTGCCTTATAATTACTACTTTAATTACACCCTTCTATTTACACCCCTATATTTACACCCCTCTGATTACTACCTTTTTATCAATTTTTACCATTTTTACCATTTTTACCTTTTTACCCATGGCTGAAATCACGAAAGATACTACTACAACTACTACCACTACTAGGGAGACTGGCAGAGACCATGGTGATGCGAGACAACCATTTATTCCAGGAAAGAGGGAGATCATAGCAGAGATACGGGGAGTGAATGAGCAGCTCAGGAGAATCGAGGAGGAGATGAAGAGGAGTTCAGGGAGGATACACGAGATCATAAAGAAGGAGAAGGAAAACAGTTGAAGAACGAGGCAAATGGGTACAGGGAGGAGAAGAAGACGCACCTGGAGGAGATGGATGGGCTGAAGAAGCAGATTGAGGAGGTGAGAGACGTGTTGGGACGGGATAACCTGAATTCGATCAACAGTGAGGAGCAGTTGGACCAGAAGATGAGGGAATTGGAGATGCGACTGATTCGAGAGTCACTGGGGGTGGTGGAAGAAAAGAGAATTGCTGGGGAATTGAACTCCCTGAAAACGAAGAAGAGCAAAATGGGTGATTTGAAGGAGAGTTTGAGGAATTTGAGGAGACTGGAAACGAGGATGAAGGAGTGCAGGGCAGAAGTTGGATTGGCGAACAAGGAGATTAGGGAGAGACAGGGAAAGATGGGAGAGTTGAAGGAGGAGTTGGACAGGCTGAATGAGAGTAACAGGAACAAGCATCCAGAAATAGAGGCACTGAATTCGAAGATAGCGCAATTGAAGGAGCAGAAGAAGGTGCAACTGGAATTGAGAGAGGAGAGAAGGGGAGTGGTTCATGCGATGGAAGTTGAGTACAAGAAGCACGAACAGGATCTGCTGGTGGCAAAGGAGCAGGAGGAGAAGAAGGAGCAGTTGAGGAAGGAGATTGGTGCAAGGAGGAAGCAGGTTGCAGAAATCAGGCTGAAAATGGGTCAATTTGGAAAAGAGGTCTTTGAGAGGCTGATTGTGGCCGTGGAACAGGTTCGAAGGAGTGGAAACTACTTTTTATCTGCTGACTTGGTAGGGGAGTTAGTTAGGCATGGAATAGCATTGCCAAGCAACGAGGCTACTGCAAAGAAGACACTTGAGGAGTTGAAGAACGGAAGAGACAACGCAGATGAGACATTTGCAAGCAAGAGGGGAGTACTGCAGAATGAGATTGACGTGATAGAGAAGGAGGTGGCTGAGATGCAGAAGATGCTGGCTGAGATGCCTGAGAGCAACGTGGAGCTGCTCAAGAAGTACAAGGGTGACAGGAAACAGTATTAATTACAGTAGTGAGATTGGTGATACGTCTGTAATACACATCTTTGTTTATTTCCATTATATTACATTTAGGTTAGATTAGGTTAGTTAGTTAGTTGTTTCGAGGATGCTTCTTCTTTAGCTCAGAATTCCAGAAGTTCTTAATCGCATTGTCAGTGCGACCAGGCAGTGCCTTCGCAATCAGAGACCACCTGTTTCCGTGCTTCCGGTGCAAGGCGTGGATCTGCTTCCTCTCACTGCGTGTGAAGGACGACTTGTTTACAACTGGATTCAGGTGGTTGTGCCATCTTTCACGGCACTGCTTCCCACAGCGAGTTCCAACCATCTCAGCAATGAGGCTCCAGTTTCTGGGCTCGTATCGTCCAATGATCCGAACCAGTCTCAGATCCTCCTCCTCAGACCAGGGGCCCTTGTTTTGCACGCCTGATAATCCCTGTTTTTCTATCTGATCACTGGTAATTAGTACCTGATTTGAGTGGTTTTCCTTTGATTTGTGCTCTCGTACGTTAAGAATATGGACGCAGAGGGATGCAAGCATGTCAAGTGACTTGGTGCCACACTGCCGTCTGGTGCAGCTACTAAACAGTTTCTTGCCTGAGTGAAACATGGGTATTGGATTTAATTTTAAGAAATATTTGTTGTTTTAATCTTCTAGGTTAGTATTAATTGTTAGTTAGAAGAGGATGATGTGAAAAACCAGGCTGTTTTGATACATAGTATCAAGGCAGCAGAGACCGAACCAGTTGACCTGTGCCTTCTAATTTAATTTCTGTCAATACGCTTTGTTTGACAACAAAAACATTCTGAGACGGATTGGGTTGTTTACGGATGTTTATGGATCGTATACGGAGGATTCTTGGAATTGGGCAGGTGAGAAAAAGAGACGATGACACCTCATCAAAAGAGACATTAGCCCTGGAATTAAAGGATGAATGGTGGCAGAAGAAAAGGAAGAAAGAGACGAGGGAGAAGATTCTGGAGCAGAATGTTTTGAAGAGGGGGCTTCCTGAGAGTGGACGAAGTAAAATAATGATAAAAATTTTACTTGGTGATTTATCAGGGAGATTAATAGGAAAAAGAGTGATTAAAAATGAAAATGAAGTGGATCAGGAAACAGTGAGGCAAATCAAGGCGGATGGAACCAGGACACTGGCGAATGATTACGAAGGAGTGGAAATGGACAGACTGGTTGAGTTGTTGATGAAGTACGCTAATCATAATACAAATGTTAAGTATTGTCAGGGGATGAGTGACATTGCAGCAAATGTTCTAAAGGTTTTTGGGGTAGAAAACGATCAGACCTGTTTTGAGGTGTTTTCGAGGCTGATTGAACTGGAAATGAGTAGTGGAGATGTGGGTGAGACTGGATCGATATTCGATACCAGGTTGTCACAGATGAAGAGTGTCATGGTTAAACAGAAGATATTGATCAGGAAATTGGATGGTAATTTGTATAGAATTCTTTATACGAATGAGACAAATCCAGTGGGATTCGTTGCATTCAAGTGGATGTTGACATATTTCACCAGATTCAATGGCCTAAGAGACCGTATTTGGGAGTACCTAATTTTCTATGGGTTTGATATTCTGTACTATTTTACAGTTGCAATACTAAAATACCACGAGGAGGAGATAAAGCAGGCAGATGAGGAGAGTCTACTTCTCTTTCTTGGTGACATTGAATCAAAATACATCGAACCAAACACAGTGGTGAACATTGTTGAGGAATATATGAGACACGTTTGATCAATACTGTATCAAGCCCAATATTGGTTTAGTTTGTTTCACCTGATAAACATATGATACTTATCCTGTTCTATTTGATAAATGGAGTCCTAGTGATATTCAACCTGTTCATTCTGGTTGTTTCACTGGTAGTTTACGATCACATCCACGGGGTGCTTGGCCCAAGACCTGGCAATTTACTGTTACTGATTTCCATCAGTCTGCTTGGCGTAGTGGTTCCAATACTTGGAATGAGCAAGAGCAAAACCAAGAACGTCTTGTACGTGTGTGGAACAATTCTATTTATGAATGGAATGCTGATATTGCTGATCAAAATTGATGATTTCTCACAGTTTATCAACAAATGGGTCGAAATCAAGTACAGAATACTAAGCAAAGTAAACCAGAACTATGTAAGAAGCATCCTTGGATGTTGTGATGATGCAAAAGAGTGTGAGGTTGGCTGTTTTAATAGAATTGGACAATTATTTCGTAGAACTGTACAAATTATTCACAAAGTGATCATTGGTCTGTTTATTTTGGACAGTATCAGCCTTGCTCTCTACGTGAATAAATGACAGAATACAATTATTAAATAGTAGAATTTATATCAAAAAAGTGTCAAACCTATCAAAAGAAATACATCAGAAATAGTTTTCCTTGAAATCCAATTATGGATAATGAAACATCAGTAAATACTACAGTCAACAACAATTTTATACGATATAAGCAGCCGTCTATCTATCATTTGCATAGTTAGAAGGTAAAAATTGTTTTCTATTACACCCCTACAATGAAAAAGGGTAAAAAGAATGCATTGCTACAGGAAGCGTGTAAAATGATATTTGGAACACACACATTCAGAAGAGAAAGTGACTTCTATCAGCAGTTTAAGGAGAACATGTACCTAACAACAGAGGATGGTAGGAAAATAGGCGCATTCCTCTACGAAGGGAGTCCTGGCCCTGTTTCCAAGATAGTTCTATTTCTGCATGGAAAGGGAAACGAGAGATACATGGCATCTGAGTACCTGAATATGTCTGAATTATTAAGAAGATACGGTGGAATACGGGTATTGATACTCGATTATAGGGGATTTGGGGATAATTGCGACAAAATGTCCAAATCAGGTTTCTCTCTTGATATCCTGGCAGCAATGGCCTTCCTACAGAATAAATACGGCACAAATGATATCATAATGGTGGGCCACTCATTTGGCTGTGCCTTTGCAACTGAATACATGAAACACATTGATTCACATGGCCTACAGAAGTACAGTCCTATGAAAACATACCTGCTTGCTCCATTTGCAACTATTGAGGAGATTCTACATGACTACAAGGCAGCAATGCTATTCAAAGACATGTTTGATGAGATATGGGAGTTTCTGTTGCATGAAATGAACTACGATAATGTTCGTAATATCAGGTACTGTACGAATGTTAAGATATACCATGGGACTGGTGACCTGGTCGTTCCATTCCGCCATAGCAGACTGATTCAGCAGGCAAACAGTAGGGTAGAACTGGTCTCATTGGAGGACGTTGGCCATGCAAGCATCCTAAGCAATGCCTCAATTTGGTCTGATATTTTGCTTGAGAAATAAATAGCCCATGTTACTGCAGTATGTTTTAGATTTGCTAAAAGAGTACGATATTCACAATCTGTTTATTACAGACATGAACACCGAGTTCCATAAGACAATCAACTCAATTGATGACACCAACTCAATTGGAGACATCAAGAGGGATCTGACTGCTTTCTTTGACTTCTACATCACTACAGTCGATAAGAATACTCTATTCTACCAGGAAGCAGTGAAAATGAGTGGATTGATGGCTGAAATAGCACGAACGTATTCAGAGGAGATGGCAGTGACTGCAGGTGATGAGAAGGAAGAAGACACCAATGCCGTGATTGAGCGAATAAATGGCGTGATTGTGCAGAACATCAACAAGAAGTTTGCTGCGGAAGAGGAGGAGAATGCAGACCAGATCAACCCAAGCAATCAGCAGTTTCTGAGCAGCAATCAGCCCGTTTCTAAGACGGAGGCTGCTCCCCTGAACAATGGCAGATTTCAGGCGGAATTCAAGAAGACGAATGAGCCATACAAATTTTATTACAGTAGGGAGGAAATAAGTAGGATGAATAAGAAGAATATAAATGAGGAGATTCTTGACATCTACATGCGAAGTCTGGTTGCATTCTCACAGGATGTGGATGTTGAGACACTGAACAAACACATTTATTACTTGCAGAATGATGGACAGTGGGTGGATGACAATAATCAGTGATAAAAGCTAATAGTTCATGTTCAATTAGGAGCCACTATCTTATTTATTGGTGGCTGTCTACAACTATCGTATGGTCTAATAATTAGACTGTCTCTACTTGACTAAAGACGGTCATTCTCATTTAACAACTTACCCTATTAACAAATGATTGTGATAAAAATATTAAAATAGTGTTGAATCTCCGTTTAGTATCAAGGGGATTACGCAAGGAATGGGTGGCTCAGTAGGTTTTTTGGACTAGGTCTGTCTTCTTCTTTAATCTGTAGACAGCAATCTATGAAGTGATCCAAATCGTTTGGGTTACTGTTGTTGAATAGCGGATGAAATGGTTGGGCCAAATTCACAAGATCAAGGCGTCGATAATAGTCCGACCCAAAATAAGCATTCACCCATTGTTGTGCTAAGGCCGTACATGATGCGCCTCCCAAGTTATACTGCAACATCGATAACATCACATTGAGCACTATCATCCACACATCAGTCTTCAAACCTATATAGCCATAGATCATTAATTCAGGAGCGTAGCACCACGATGGTCCAATCTTCCATAGGTGAACTGTTGTTTCACCTTCAGGTAATATTACGGATGCATCAAAGTTACTGATTTTGATTACGTTTCGTGTACCATTCCATTTTTGTATCAGGCTCATCAGCACAATCCCATTATGAACAATTCTCTTAGTTTGCAAATATACCAGTCCCTCTAACACATCCTTCATAACCATTTTTATTTGGGCATGATCACCACCGTTCCAAGTCAATGGACTCACATTCTCACTCAGCGTAATTTCAACAGGATACTGGTCATTTGTAACTGAGTTATTTGCAGTGAATTTGTAGTATTGATACGTTTCAATTACGTTAGGATGCTTCAAGTTCTTAATTGTCTCACAATCTACCCTGTTAATAATTTCTGTTATTGGTCGGCCGATTTTCAGAGACAAATCATCCTTCGTAAACAATAATGGGTTAGCACTAGTATGTACGAAACCATTAGTTGTCATGTGTTGTATTACTGCCGCATCATCAGAAGTGTTGCATAGTTTTTCAATCTCCTTTGTAATAACAATAAAGTTACTATAGTGTTTGAGATCTTTGGGATCGACAGGCACATTTGGTTTTGTTGCATTTGCTTTTACTGTCTCCGTCTTCTTATCTGATTTTTGTACTACCGTTTCATTCTTTGGGTTGTTTTTGTTCTTTAGGTAATTTCGTACCAGTAATACCGTTACTACGACAATCCAAGTCAGTGTCAATACCGTGAATGCAGCCAGTATGATTGCTTTTATCAGTCCATTCTTCCTAGTTAGTTCCATGGTAATGGGTACTCCTTTGCTAAAAATATTTATCCTTAATGATAACGAATATCAGTAAAAGTTGACGTTTGATTTTTTTATAAAAAATGTTATCAATGCTTTGGCTGTACTGCACACGTGTATTATTAGTCAAAAATGATAAAAAGTGATATATCATACTCCTTTACCTGTCAAGCCAAACATATTACAGGAGTATAAATATGTGATATATCAGAATCAGCCAATTTAAATAGAGTATAACTCAAAGTTATGGTGTTTGTTGGATAGAAGTAGGTGAGTATTCGTAACATCACTAAAAGTGTCACACCTATCAAACGCTAACTGTAAGGGAGGTAATATTTTGAGAATTGAAAGAATAAAATTGGTGTTTTCAGTAGACACTTTTGGTAACTAGCTATATCAATAAATAAATAGTATTGTCAGGCAACAGAATTAATATCAGAAGAAGTAGCAAACCTATCAAATGTACTATATAAGAAACGATTAAATGATACACCCAACAGGTATAGTCTCTCTACCTGTTAAACCCCTCTAAGTCGTCAACAACAAGTTGTCGTATCACATGCTATATAATCACTAGAACTCGCTTATTCTCATTGTCTTTTCCCCCACTCTCATCAAATAGCACTCTATTTCGTCCTTCTTCAACTCATTCTCCTCAGGATGCGCATTCTTCATTGCATTCAAACAGAGTTCAATCATCTGCTTCTCATTCATACTCTTCACTCTTGATAGAGCCGTGCTCAGAATCGTCTTACACGACTGGTTTCNTATAAGAAACGATTAAATGATACACCCAACAGGTATAGTCTCTCTACCTGTTAAACCCCTCTAAGTCGTCAACAACAAGTTGTCGTATCACATGCTATATAATCACTAGAACTCGCTTATTCTCATTGTCTTTTCCCCCACTCTCATCAAATAGCACTCTATTTCGTCCTTCTTCAACTCATTCTCCTCAGGATGCGCATTCTTCATTGCATTCAAACAGAGTTCAATCATCTGCTTCTCATTCATACTCTTCACTCTTGATAGAGCCGTGCTCAGAATCGTCTTACACGACTGGTTTCTGCTTCCTATGGCTGTCCCATGGACATCAATTGCCTTTGAATTCGGCTCCAATTCTGTGATACGCAGCTCTCCTTCAAACTCAGACACCAGAATCCCAGCTGCCCCACAGAGTCTCTCATCACTGATTGCTTTATAGGCCATGTGATAGACCAAATCATCGAATACGTAGATTGGATGGATCTCACGTGCCTTTGTGATGTTCTCCTCAAGCACCTTGCTATTCAGGTACCTTATCATGGCCAATCCGTCATTTGTGATTCCTGAAAATGTGAACAGGCCTCCTTCTCCAATTTTTGTCACCTTGTTCTCTGACATCTTTGCCAATTTGCTCGTTCTTGGATTGTGGGCCATCAGAACCGCAATTCGACCATTTGTTGCTGCCACTGAGGTGCTACCGAGTTCAGTTGCTCCCCTGGCGTACGACAGCTGTGCCACAGTCCCATCAGGAGCATACATGTTGTAAGGGGCGTATTGTTTGTTGTTGCTCATTTGTGGGTTAAAATAGGCAGAGAGAATAAATCCAATGGTCTACTGAATACTATTGAGACCATCTGACTCATTTTAATACCTTATTCTTCTCATGGATCATATTCGTAGAAATACGCTTACATTCTTGCAAAATTTTCCTGATCACTAATTTAGGATAAAAATGAGTTGAGGCTGACAATTTGCCTCTGAATATTTTGTAGTAGCCTGTTTTCATAAAATAATCAGAGGCAAATCACAACAGCAAAAATTTAATAAAATTTTATCCCAAATCACCAATAATGATAAGCCAAGCAGAGAGTTGTCCAGGAGCGGACTACAGCAACGTACGCGTGATAAAGAGGAATCTGGTCTACATTATGGGGCTGAGTATGAGTGCAGGAGAGACCATTCTGAGGAAGCACGACCACTTTGGGCAGTTTGGAAGCATCAAAAAGATCATTGTGAATCCACTCAAAAATAGCACTGCATGCGCGTACATCACGTACGAGCGAGACGAGGAGGCTGAGAGGTGCATACGAATGGTAGACGAGTCCGTTTATGGCGGAAGAGTCATTCGCTGTACATATGGGACTACGAAATATTGTACATTTTTCCTAAAGAATATCCCATGCCAGAACCACCTGAATGGAAGTGGACGGAGTCTACTCGCTGACTGCATGTATTTGCACGAGGTGAAGCCAGCAACTGACATTTTGAAGAAGGACGAGTTGTTGAAGAGCAAGTTGCACACTTTTGATGCACTAAATAGGAATAAGGAGATTCTTGGAGTACGAAACAAGAGGTTTGCGATGCTGGACGAGTTGTTCAAGCTCAAGACGAACAAGTCGTTTCCTGCACCAAAAACTATCACATTTCAGCCTAAGGACATCAACACGGAGATGGGGAAGCAGATTAGAGGCCAAAGTGGCTGGCGGACACTATAGTGTAAGTTAATTTGCTCATTTTTGGTCTTATTAATGATAACTGCCATTAACTGTGTCTTATTAGTTGATTTGTCAATCTTAGTCCATTCATCCACTAAATTGCCTATTCAATTACAAGTTTCTCTTACTACTCCTATACAACCCAATTTGCCTTTGTTTTTCACAAAAATTACCCCATGGAATTAAACATTTATGCACTGATTATGACTGTGGCAGCATGGGAGCCAGAGGAAGCCAAATTTGGCTCAAACATCGATGGATCCAACTACAAACCAGATGCATTGATGAAGAGTGAAGTCACCAAGTCCAAAAACAAGGACGAGCAACTTCTTGTTTTTAAGGGCGGAAAGAGCACCATTCTGACTGTGACTGGATTCAGACTGATGAGTGGGAGTACGCTGGCCAAGGCCACTGCGGTGGAAGAGAAGAAGTTCACTGCTGGAAACTACGACGTATTCGGTGACAGATTTGANCCCATGGAATTAAACATTTATGCACTGATTATGACTGTGGCAGCATGGGAGCCAGAGGAAGCCAAATTTGGCTCAAACATCGATGGATCCAACTACAAACCAGATGCATTGATGAAGAGTGAAGTCACCAAGTCCAAAAACAAGGACGAGCAACTTCTTGTTTTTAAGGGCGGAAAGAGCACCATTCTGACTGTGACTGGATTCAGACTGATGAGTGGGAGTACGCTGGCCAAGGCCACTGCGGTGGAAGAGAAGAAGTTCACTGCTGGAAACTACGACGTATTCGGTGACAGATTTGATATGAATAAGCGACAGGATGCAACAACAAGACTTCTTGCTCTTACTGATGTCCCAGCCAATACCAAAATAATGACGTATGGTGCAGTAGATGAGTCACTATACGATGCAGTACGTGATGCAGCCACAACAAAGGACTCTAAGGGCACCACAACCCACAAGGACGTCGACATGAACTACGCTGACTTCAATTCGAACGTATTCACCAGTCAGAAAAACAAGAATAGCGATGGTCTAGGAAAACAGATTGATAAGGGTGATTCTGATAAGATCAAACAGCTGCTTGAGACACTGGCAATGGATCGAATTGAATTCATCTTGAGCAAATTGAGCGTAAAGGACAATAAGGAGCCACACGTGTTGGAAGTGTCGTATAATACTGGGATTCTGGCTGCTAAGAACAAGGTGGCCCAGTCAATGCCATTCTGCTACGATGGCAAGAAGTACTACATGCTTGGAATGACACCATGGTATGGAACAATTCTATTCAAAATAATAGTAGGAGTTGTTGCAATTACAATACTCCTGGTTTCGATATATTTCGGAGGAGCAAAGAAGAAGCTTGATTAATAGTGGTTATTAGGCCCAATTTGACTATCACTACACTTAACTACATCTCATTGCTCACTTTATCTATCTTCTTAGTTATTTATGGACTTCCTGAGTACTCGATATTGACAGATGTACTAATCTGTCAATGTACGATAAGATTGGCTATCAGTTGATCACAATCACTCTACACAATCACATTGATGATCTATAACCGTTTGTGCCCATGGACAAACTTTTCAGGAACAAGGAGAAAAAGAGAATATTTGTTACAAGTGCACTTCCCTACGTCAATAATCAGCCACACCTGGGGAATGTCATTGGATCACTGCTCAGTGCTGATGTCTATGCTCGATACTGCAGAAGAATGGGATACGAAACACTCTTCATTTGTGGAACTGATGAGTACGGAACAGCAACAGAAATGGAGGCATTGAAACAAAAGTGCCATCCACTGGAAATAGTGAAGAAGAACAGGGTGAAACACAGGCAGGTTTACGACTGGTTTGGAATGCAATTTGATTCGTATGGAAACACACACTGTGAGGAACACGGCAAACTGGTTCATGAGATATTCCTGAAGATCATCGACTACTTCAGTGAGAAGGACGTAACAATGATGTATTGTCTGAAATGTGATCAATATTTGGCAGATCGATTTCTAAGTGGAACCTGTGAGTGTGGTGGAGAGGCACATGGAGACCAGTGTGACACGTGTGGAAAGTGCTACGAGAATGCGAGTGAGCTACGAGACCTGAAGTGTGTGATTTGTGGGAATGAGCCTGGGCCTAAGACGACTAGGCATCTTTTCCTGAATTTGGATCAGCTTCAGAAGCACGTGAAGAAGATTGACACGACTGAATGGTCTGAAAATGCTAAACAGATTTATCAGGGGTGGATTAAGATGGATATCAGGCCAAGGTGCATGACAAGGTCACTCAAACACAGTTGGGGTGTCTCTGTTCCACTGAAGGGGTACGAAGACAAGGTGTTCTATGTCTGGTTTGATGCACCAATTGGATATTTGACGTATTTGAAGGCGATACGGCCACTAAGCTGGCTTGAAGGGGCGAAATGGGTCCAATTCATGGGAAAGGACAATGTTCCATTCCATTCAGTCATGTTTCCGTCAGTTCTCTATGCCCTCAAGGAGCAGAAGCTTAGAACACCAGAAAAAGTCAAAGAAAGGAAGCTAATTGAAAGGGTAGAGAGAGCAAGTCTAAAGAAGGATGAACTGGAAATGATAGGCGAAATGAAGTCTCAGGGTGTCATGAAAAGTGAGGGGCAGTTGGAGTTGGATTATGGTTACGTGATAAATGCGACTGAGTACCTGACATTCAACAAGAAGAAGTTCAGTAAGTCGAAGAATGTGGGGATATTTGGATTGGATTTGGTTGAGAAGGACTTGGGTGATGCAACAAAGTGGAGGTTCTACCTCTTGAAGAGGAGACCTGAGACGAAGGATGCTGACTTCAACACGGATGAATTCATCAAAATAGTCCAAAATGAGCTCATTGCAAACATAGGCAACTTCATAAACAGGACACTGAAATACGTAGAAAGCAACAATGTGGATGTTTATAGGGTGATTTCTAAGTTCAATAGGGAGGAAGAGACTCCATTTGCAAGGAGAGTGATAGAGTTGATTGATGATGTAAACAGAACCAATATCGAGTACTTTGAATCAATGGAGAATGCGAGACTACGAAATGGCCTGGATAAGGTGCTAGAGATCAGTCGAATTGGAAACAAGTTTCTGCAGAGTCTTCAAAATGACAAAGGGAATATGGCAGTTGGCTTCTCATTCGCATTTTGTCTGATCAAGTTACTGGCCCAGTCCTTTGAGCCATTTATTCCAGACGCATTTGTCAAGCTAGAATGCCTGATTGAATTGGATTCGAGGTTCCACCTGAAATTTGAAGAATATTTCACCAGTGAATCAGGTATTCTGCTAAAGAAGAAGGTTGAAATTGTGTTCAACAAATTCACCAGTAAGCAGGAAGAAGAACTGTTGCGCTACAAGTAGCCACCAGTTGAAGAATCAATGACTCACCCAATCATAGTCTGTTTCATCTCTCGCCATTTCATACCTGTTCTACCACTATTATGTTTATTCTACTTGTAACCCAAATAATGACGTCAGCACATGCTGGGACTATTCCAATTTACAAGGGGCAAATTGTACTAACATTGAGCAAGCACAACCATTTCATATTCCCCAAGGGAAACATAGAGAAGAATGAGACTGCGTCTGAGGCAGCAGTAAGGGAGACAATGGAGGAGAGTGGATGCATTGGTGAGTTGTTTGGGGATCCAATTAAGGTGAAACACGAAGGATACACGATAGTCTACTACAAAATGCATGTAACAAAGATACACAAGCATTTTGAAGAAGAAAAGAGGAGGAAGCTGCTGATGACCAGGCCACAAGATGCAGTGGATAATAAACAGGTCGCACTCTACGTGAGAAAGATAATTCATGATGAATTGGTAGTAGATAGATTGCTTGACCATGATTAATTGGTGGCCAACTACGTAACTACCACTACTGTTATTATTCCCTTATTTTAACTAATACTCACTTACTCTTCCTTTACCTTATTCTTTCTCTTCTTCTTCTTTTCTTCTGATTCTTCCTTCTCCTCTTTGATCTCCTCTACCTCATTTGATTCCTCCTTCCTCTTTACGTCCTCAACTGTCACTGATCCATAGAGATAGTTCTCATCCCATGGTCTACGCATCTTCTGTCCGTAAATGTACTCCCTAAACAGCCCAGAAAAGAGCAGTGGCTTCAGGACACCAATCACAAATGAAAACATGGGTTGCATTCCCTTGAACTTCCAGTGGACAGCAAGTGCAATCAGTGCGCTCAGAAGCAGACTCCTGATTCCCTTGTTGACCTCTGCACTGTCGTACTCGTGTACGCTGATCTCCACCTCCTGCTCCTGCATTGCGGTGACACTCTTGTACTTGAATTTCCTCTGGTCATTCACCTTCTGAATTCTGCCTCGAATATAGAGGAAGCAGCCTAGCTGGAATAGGAGCACCACTCCAAAGAGAACCCTGATGTAGAGAGTGTACTGTGGCTTGTTGAAGAATGCGTTCTTTCCCAATAGCATTGGTAGCAAGGACGTGGCCATGCTGAAGAACTGTTCTGCAGATGTTATGCTGAGAGGCATTGGGGTAAATTTTGCCTGAGAAAAATGCGAGGGAGTTGGGTGAAATATGCAACTGGGGCAACTGGTAGGAAATTGCAGTTTGTGACTGAACTAGATCCTACTATTTTTATGCCCATATTTATGAGTAAATTTGACATCAGTGCTATTCGCATCTGCTTCAAGAAAATAAGAAACAAGCCAACCACAATCATAGCCAACGTGGAGGAAGAGAAGAAGGATGAGTTGTGCAGGCAGCTGAAGAGGCTGTTTGGGTGTGGAGGGTCTGTGGACAAGGATGGCCATGTTGTGTTACAGGGAAACCATGTTATAAAGCTACTGGCAGATAAGGAAGCGTATTTTGGAGAGAAGACCGTCCAGAAGGTGGAGACTATCTAAGTATAGACATGATAGTGGAATAGTAGGAAAATGGTGTTAGGGTAAAATACTAATTATGGTTAAGTGTAACTAATAAGCATAATTAACAAGATCGTACCTGTTCTATGCATTTCTTAAGGACTCCCTCTGCCTTTTCTGTTACAATCCCATCCTTCTGCTTGAAATCGATCCATCCAAGCTTAACCAGGTTCTCTACAGCCATCTCAATCACGTAGCGAGAGCCACGAGCAAACTTGGTAGGTCTCACTCCCCTGTTCTTCCTGTTTCCGTACCTGTAAGCCAATCCATTGAGGGATATTCCGTTCTTGATGGCTGCCTGTCTGAGGACAGAGGCAGTTCGAAGCAGAAACCAATTGGACTGCATTGGACTGTACTGTCTTCCTGAACCAGTCTTAATCAGATCAGCGTCTACTGGCATCTCAATCTTCTCTTTTTCAAGCATCAGTGCTATTTCTTCAACCAATTTGTGTGGATTCACTCTGTAGGCCAAGTCACCGATCATTTTGGGTAAAATTTGTGAGAAATTTAGGGCAGGATGAAGAAGGCAAATTGGCTACAGTCAGAATGTGGTGGATTATACTATAGGGGACTATGTGAACTAACAAAGGACGAGTTAGTGGCACTGGTTTATGGTCAGAATAACATAAGAAACGTGACTAAACAGGCCGTGAAGCACAAAACAGTTAGAAAAGTAGCATTTCAGCTGTCATACGATGGGAAACTATACAATGGGACGCAAGAGAGCAGAGATGGGCTGAGTGTGACTGAGGTGCTACGAAATGCGTTGAAAAAGAGTGATTTATTCGTAGATGGAAATGAGATGATATTCTGTGGTAGAACAGACAGGGGCGTATCAGCTGAGAATGCGGTAGTGAGTTTGTTCACAAAAAGTAGACTGGATTTGGAACCAAATGACTCCCATGAGACAGAATACTACACATTTGCAGGAATAGAATTCAAGAGATACCTTTTTAGGGACTCGCAATTTGAGATAGGCAAAGAAGACTACAATGAGATACCGTATACGAGAATACTGAATAATATACTGCCTGAACATATTCGAATTAAGGGATGGGCACCAGTTCCAGACTACTTCAGTGCTAGACACAGTTGTATAGAAAGATGCTACAAGTATCAGTATGAAATAGGTAGAATACGCGTAAAAGATGGTAATTTACTGGATAAATTCAATCATGGGGCAGAAATAATAAGAAGTTTAGATGATTTCTACTACTTCAGTAAGCACGACAATCCCAAGGCAAACTACAACTTTAGAATTAGTGAGTTGTTCTTCAACACCTGTGGTGACCATATTGTGATGGAAATAAGATCGTACTCATTTATTCACAATATGGTAAGAAAGATATTCAGTTGGATCAGAAGATACGCTGAGACAGGTAGATTGGATTACAGGGACATTGAACCAGCTGAGGCAGAGCACCTGGTATTCTGTGGTGCAACATACAGACATAAATTGGCGTATATTTCAGGTTAAACAATGTGAAACGATTGTTGCCCTGGATGGATAAAAAAGACAAAATACGCATGTCATCCCTGGAAAATGGATCATTGGTCTACTCTCGTACGGACAGGCTCTTTGACACGGATGTAGGGGAAGTTGAGACACAAATGCCCCGGGATAAGAGCAGAATAAAAAAGAATGAAAAAAACAAAGAGATCCTGAATGAGAGGGAAAATGGAAACAGAATAAGACTGGTAACTGGGAAGAATAAGCAGAGATCCAGTAGACATAAAACAGATAGAATTAATTTGGATGATATAACAGGAGAATATGACTACAATAACGATGGATATGGGTTTGAGGAGTCAGAAGTGCAGCAGGAGAGCAACTTTATGGTTGCCTGGATGCTATATACGTACAACCTGCTAGTGGCTGTCTATAATACAGTTAGAAAGTATGCCATTCTTATTCTACTAGTGGCATTTTACTATAAAACAACAGGAAACGCGCCTACACAATTTACCACAAACATATGCACAATCACCAATGCAAGAGTAGAAGAAATCAGTCGCCTCTACCGCTTTGGCCTCTTCAGAAGCAGGAGAACCAGTATTGACAACCTAATTCAGGATAATCCAATTTGCACCAGTCTAGAAATGCCTAGTCAAAAACAAACCATCAAGAGACACCCTTATATTAAAATAAGCCTTAATAAAAGGCATCACATCAATACAATAGCAATATACCATCCAATACAGGCAAATAAGCGCAGTGCAATTCATAGATTCACACTTCAATACGTCCGAGACAACAGACTGGTGCAACGTGAGTTGATCTATAAAGATTCCTATGGATATCAGGAGTATCAGATCAACGAATCCATTGATTGGTTCAAAATTAGAATCAACAGCAATTACGGTGAGAAATACGTCAGCATCTACAGGATATTCGCACATGGAAGGTAGTAGGCATCACTATTTATTCTCTAACAGCTTGATCTCATTTGAATTATCTTTCAACAATTCTATGTCCAATAAACTAATTTCTCTCCTTCTTTTCTTGTACCAGATGATTACTATTGCCACTAGCACCAGCATCAGTGCCACTAACAACAGAATGAAAATCAGTGCCACTTTCCAACCTGATGATTTCTCTCTTTTTGGAGGAGTCGCCTTCTTCTCTTCCTTAACTTCCTTCTTCATCAGCTTCTTAAAACTCTTCTTATCCAAATTGATGTACTTTCTTATCTCACTCTCATCATTCCAGATCAGAAATAGATCAGATTTTTGTTTCAACATGTCGTTGTATTCAGTAACCACAACGTAGAATACCAAGTATTCATCATTCTCCAACTTCAGGTCACTGATTCTCAGATGAACATTAAATGAATACTGTTTCAAGATGCAATCTACCAAATTGGCATTACTGACCTTGTTATCTTGGATATTTGTCTTATTTTTTAGTCGATCCATAAACCTATCTAAATCGTGTGCGCCTGTTTCATCCATTCTCTTCATCATTGACTTGAATTCTTCAGAATTCGTGTCAATCACATCCATTTTACTCAATCCACTCTGCTCCATTAGCCTAGTAACGTATCCTACCTTATCTATTACAAAATAGCTGTCTTCTTCCACGACTCCATCACACCCCTTAGTTACGTAGTTGAATTCATTAAATCCTGTCTTATCTAAGTATAGATTATCGATATCGAGGATGTAGCTGTGTTCATTGCTTATTGCACTCACATATCCCATTTCAACTGTCTTGTTGCCTATCTTGTATTCTACTGCACACCTGTGCTTATCATATAGCTCATCGTATGTACCATATNACTCAATCCACTCTGCTCCATTAGCCTAGTAACGTATCCTACCTTATCTATTACAAAATAGCTGTCTTCTTCCACGACTCCATCACACCCCTTAGTTACGTAGTTGAATTCATTAAATCCTGTCTTATCTAAGTATAGATTATCGATATCGAGGATGTAGCTGTGTTCATTGCTTATTGCACTCACATATCCCATTTCAACTGTCTTGTTGCCTATCTTGTATTCTACTGCACACCTGTGCTTATCATATAGCTCATCGTATGTACCATATACTCGTATTATAAATGGAATAATTAATACTAATTTCATCAAGGGTAAAAACTGTACTTTAATACGTCATAGTAAGTTGGACTAAATACCTGTTTATTGCTGTAGTTGCTTACTCCCCTTTTATTTCCTTCTCTTCGTCCAGTACAACATTCTTTCCCATTCTATGCTTCCTGTACAATACGGCACACACAATTCCAAGGGCAATACCCACCAGAATGAATATGATAAGAATTATTAGGCAGAATACGTTGAATGCCACACGACTGCGACTGTACTTCCTCAGCGAATGCTCTACAAAGACAACTGTGGTTGTTTCAGTCGACGTCCCAACAGTCTTCTTTACGGTCTTGGTCACATCCTTGAATTTCGTAGTTGCATTGATGAGGACCTTCCTTCTTGGACGAATATCCATATCCGCCTTTCCTGGCTCAACATTGAACATTCTGTAGGTTGATCCAAGCTTAGAGACCAGCATCAGCTGTGAGAGGTATCTTGTGGCATTATCTTCTATAAAAATCGCAACATAGGCGTATTCACCATCACCAACAAAAATCGACTTCAGGGCGAATGCAAATGGAAGCTGTGGATGCAGGTTGTGTCGTACAACACCAAAGAATGCTCCCAAATTGTTGCTATTATCGTCAACTATTGCTTTCACGT